AAAAAAACTGTATGAAAATTGTAATACTCAGTATATACCAATAACAAAAGATGAATACAAGTTTGACTTCTGCAATTACAAGAGGTGCTCAAAGTGGTTAGCATCAGCATCCAGACACTTCTGATTATGGCAGACTAAAAGTAATACATATATAACATCTCTTAAAATATGTATACATTTTTTGGCATATACATTTTTTTTGGGTATATGGTACCTGTGATAGCAGCAAATAAAATAATGCTAACCATTGTAGATGTTTAGTTCTCAACTAATCATTTTGATGACTTTGGAAACCCTTGCAAATATTTCAGGAAAAGCATTTGTATAGTACTGATACACACAGGCCAAGGTTTCTTGGCTTTGGTACCATGTATCGTTATTTTTAGCTGGATAATTCTTTGTGATGGGGCTGCCATGTGCATTGTAGGGTAAGTTGTTCTTAGGTGAGCTGAAGTATTTTTTCCTAAGGTGACTACTACATTTATGCTTAGGTGCTGAAATAAGGGGCAGAGGTATCTATGTGGAAAAATACCTTCAGGAAGTACAATTGTGCTATTTCTCGTTTTACTTTTAAGAATTGATCTTAGCCGGGCTCGGTGGCCCAGCCTGTAATCCCGCGCCTTGGGAGGCTGAGGTGAGTGAATTGCCTGAGCCTGCGGGTTCGAGACCCGACTGGGCAACTTGACGTGACCTCATCTCTACAATAAATCAAAAAAATTAGCCAGGCGGGGTAGCGCACGCCTGTAGTTCCAGCTACTCAGAAGGCTGAGGTGGAAGGATCGCCGGAGCCCAGCAGGTGAAGGCAGTCTGGGCGACCGAGTGAGACTCCAATCCCCGCCCCCCCAAATTGGTCTTATCTAAGCAAACTTGCTCAATATTCAGCACAATGGCCTTTCTACATAGATGAAATTATGGTTAGCACTTTTTCACATCTCATCATCCATGAATAATAAATAGGTTACTGTGTGCCAGAGGTCAAGTATTTGGTGTTATCTAATCTAAAGCTTACATATATTTTTGTGAACTAAGGTGAAAGAAATGTGAGGGAAAACGTGGAGACTAAGATTAAGAATTTTTAAAAGGGTAAATACATACAACTCATCCTTACTCACACTTTGACACTTGGCTTACTTTAGCAATCTTCATTGTCCATGCCAGTCATTGTGAAATCGTTTATACTACATGTGACAAGCATTTTTTTTTTTTTTTAGTTTTGTGGTTAAATAAAGGGTCCCATAATTTGTAGTAGGAAGCCCACAGGCTTTGAATTCACACTTGAGTTCAAATCTCAGGGTAGCTACTACCTGTTACTTAGTATTGGGAATCTCAGCTGTCTCATCTATAAGCTGAAGCAGCAACCAGGAATCCATTTGATGGACTGCAGCTCAAGATGCCTGGCATAAGACAGGCGCAACATACAGAGAAGCTTGCCGAGACCTACCCGAGAGACCATGAAGGACAAGGAATACTCAGACCAAGAGTGCAATCAAGACAGACACTGGTGACTGCAAGTTGCTTCCCTAGGCACTACCTTTTCTGCTTTTCTCAATTGATCTCGCAAAACCGCTGACTCAGGGGAAACCGGGAACGGCGTGACCACGGGGAAATCATCTATTTTTCCTCCTGGCCTGGAGGCCCGAAGCCCAGCGTGTCTGAAATGGCTGCTGCAATGCCAGCAGCAGCAGCCCGGAGGTCAGGAGTGATGCACTGACACTTTGCCCGGAGCAACCTCCCCGGGGTTGACCTCCAGCTCCGAGCTCGCACAAAGTGCTGAGTCACGGGGAGGCGGGCCCCGCGGTCACGTGGCGAGGGCTGTACCACAACAACGGCGCGGCGTGCAGCGCCCACGGCCCACGCCGATTCCTCCCGCGACGGGCCCGCACACTGCGCATGCTCAGCTCGGCCTCACGAGGGCGCGACGTCCCCGACTGCGCGGCTCCGCGCTCCGGGTTTTCCGGGCGGCCCTAGAGGTGGGGCTTGTGTTGGCCCCGGGTGTTGGGGGCGAGGACGCGGGCTCCGCAGCCATTGCGCAGGCGTGGGTTTCGGGTACTGCGGGTCTTGGCGTTTTCCCGCGAAAGAAATGCTCAGGAATCTGCCCTTAGTCATGGCATAGGGAAGAGCTGATTCTGCAAGATATACACTCCTTCTTTTCTTTAGCACCCGTTAATTCCCTGTTGGGGTGTCCGCTGAAAACCCACTTACAGGTGTGGAAACCCAGCTCTGGGTGCAGTCTGCAAAAGGAAATCTAGAAGTAGCCCAGAAAGGCAAAGCACTAACCGAGGGAGTATCTGTTGCTAGCTATGACTTGGGTTGATCCGTGATGGAAATTTTGTTATTTCCTTGTAACAGAGATTGTTCAGGAGATGATGGTTTAAATTAGACATAGGTGCCCGCTGGTGCAACAAAGCCTGTACCCGATTTGGGGTGGTCCAAGGTCCTGGGACCCTCGCTGGGAGTGCTCCTTCGGAATTTGGGAGTAGGGTGGGAGAGCCCGGTTAAGTAAGTGTGATTCCGATCTGGGCCAGAGTCATTCAAATTGCAGGTGTTAAACTCAGCTACGTTCGGTATCGCGTAGGGCATTGGCTGGAGGAGACCGTAATCTCTTACTGAACTGCCCAAATCCATGTTTCCCCCATCAAAATGAAACTGGCACCCTCCCTCTCTCTAAGAAATGGATCACTGTGAGAAAATGCAGCAGGTATATGGGAAAAGTGTGATCTGCAAAGTGTAAATCAAGTTATCCATCAGCACTGTTTCAAATAAAGTGGAATGCAAACCATACATGTAAACTTAAATTTTCTAGTAGCCACCTTTAAAAACTAAAGAAGAACCGGTGAGTTAATTTAAATAGCATACTATATCATATTTAACTCAAAATGTCTGAAATACTATGATATCAACATGTAATCAATATAAAATTTTTCATGAGATATTTACATTCTTATACTAAGTCATGGAGTCTAGTGAGTGTTTTGGGTCAGTAAATTTTCAGTGGAAATACTTGATGTGTAATTAGGCTTCATAAAACTTACTGTCATAAAAGGGGTCACATACCTAACTTGTTCCAAATTTACTTAAAAGTTTTCCAATAACCAAGTGGACTATCATTTTTAAAAACTTATATTTAAGTTGATTTGATAAAACTAAAAATTCAGTTTTTCAGTCGTTAGCCACATTTTAAGTGCTCAGTGGCCCCATGTGGCTAATGGCTATTGTGTTGAACAACACAGATCTATGAAAATGTGAGAGGAATTTATACTGTTTCTCTCCTCTCCCACTACTTGCTTTCCACAGAAAAGCTAACATTAAGCACCTACTCTATACTGAGCACTTTTCTAGAATTAAAGGTACAAAACCATAAGTCTTCTCTAACCCAGCGGAAATCACTATCTAGTGTGGAGATATGTTTTAGATGATTCTTCTTTAACCCAGAGGAAGTCACTATCTAGTGTGGAGGTAAGTTCTAAATGATTCTATCATTAATGCACAAATGCAACGAAAATATAGAGCAGGTTAAGTGGGATTCAAAGAATGAGCAATAGTGTGTCAGATGGAGAATTCCAAACAGAAAAAACAGCAGAGAGCTAGGGTCACACACAGGTCTGGTGAGGTATATGAGGGCTGGGCTCAATCAGCAATTAATAAGTGCTTACTAAATGCCGACTTTTTAGTTAAAAGGGCATAAGTACACAATTTCTGGCCTAAGAACATGTATGATCTAATTGCTGTTGCTTTCCCTTTGGCCTCTCATGCCATTGCATTGTCAACACATATTTAGCTAACAGTTACTTGGCTGCAAGGTACTCCTGCCCTTCTCTTTGCCTCCAAGATAGAGCCAACTTCAGACATTCTTAGTGTCTTTTATCACCATGATAAGCTCACATGGACATCATTTTGATCACTTAATGAATCTTAGATTTGGTTGGAGACGGTTCCTTCATATGGCCCATCTGGAGATGTTAACAAAGCTTTTGTGTTGCAATGAATGGTGTCTGTGCCACCCAGAGAATATATATCCTCAAATAATTAAGAGAATAACAAATAATGATAATATATACACATGTCCGCAAATTGAGTCCTGTTAATAACGGGGTCAATTTATTGACCATCAACACTGTGCGTATACACAACGCACATCCTTACAGCATCCACTAAAAAAAGCAGTAATCTAATTGTATGCAGGCTTGAAAACAAACCTCCCAGAGTCTCCCAGTAAGTGAGCAGTGGAGCCTGGGGTTGAACATGTGTATCTAACTCCCAAGTCAAGTGTTTTCTTTCAACATATTCATTCTGCTGCTCTCACTGTGAGGTCCTTTCCACCTAAAAAATACTATGGCAAGTTCTTAATTAATTCATATAATCGTCTTTCTTCCTTAACCCGGAATTTATCTTTTTTTGCTTAGGAAAAGCGGATAATTTACAAGTCGCCTTTGTGAGGCCTACCGCTCGCCCGCTTCCCGCGAACCCCTCCCCTTGACTCCGCCCCGACCACGCCTGCGCAGCCTCCTCCCTTCGGCCACGAAGCCACGCCCCGTACCGACCCCGCCCCTTTCCCCGCCCCCTTCTGTAGTTTATAAAATCCGGAGCGACCGCCCGTGTCCCGGAGCGGCGATCGGGCGGACGCGCGCACTGGGCATGCTCGGTGGCGGCGCAGGTTTTGGTCACAAGTAGGAAGCAGGCAGTGCACGACACCGGCACAGAGAAGCGGGAGCCACCGCCGCGCTGCGGCCGTGGGGTCCGTCGCCGCCGCCTGGGAGCAGGAGCAGGGCAGGAGCCGCGGCGGGCGAGGGGCGAGGCCGCTGGGCCGAGAGCCGCCCAGCCTGCGCTCCTGTCTCCTGCCTCTGCGTCCTCGCGGTGCGTCGGACCCCGGGTCTGTCACCTGGGCGCCGGGGAGCCGAGCGGACGGGACCCTCCCACTGCCGCCTGCGGCTAGAGGGCGCCTCGCGGGGGTTGAGCCGCCGCCGCCCTCTGCGGGCCGCTGAGTGTCCAGCTCGCATCCGAGGAGGAGGAGGAGGAGGGGGAGACCATGGGGCTGCTGTCCCAGGGCTCGCCGCTGAGCTGGGAAGAGACCCAGCGCCACGCCGACCACGTGCGGCGGCACGGGATCCTCCAGTTCCTGCACATCTACCACGCCGTCAAGGACCGGCACAAGGACGTTCTCAAGTGGGGCGACGAGGTGAGCGCCCGCGGCCCCCGCCCCCGCCGGGCGCTCCTGCCAGGCCGCCCAGCGCCGTCTTTGTCTGGACCTGCGCCCCCGTCCCCATCGCAGTCCGTGTCCTGCCCTGCGCCGCGGGAGTCCCCGGGCGCCTTCTTGCCCGGCCGGCGTCCAGGGCCACCCAGACTGTGGGGTCCCTACCCTGAGCCTCCGGGCCAGACTTCCTTCTCTCGTTCATTCATTTCTTTGGGTTTTCCCTTCATTCAGCAAACGCGGATTGGGCGCTGGGTGGGTGTGAGCTTGAAAAAGTGACTTTGGGAGCCTGCGAGTTTTCAGTCGGTACATCTGCAGACCGGCCACTACATCGGTCCCCCGTCCGGTCTCAAAACTCACTTTTGTTATTGATATGAAAGGGACTAATTTGTTCCAGTAGGTCTGTTGCTGTTAGAAATCAGGTCTTCAGGGCATCCGCTTCTGTTCTACCTCAGGCAGGTGTCATTTTCTTAAACCTGTCCAACTTCTTGTCATTCCCACCAACACACTTTGTCACTATAAATTGAAGCAAAAAAAAAAAAATTACAGCTCAGGTTTCCTATATGGGGGAGTTACCTTCCTGATCTTGTTGATTTCTAAATGAGAATGCTTAGCGCTTCAAAATTAGGATTTGCTCGTGCCTTTCCATGGCTTAGATCCAGCATCTAAACTTTACGAATCAGTGTCTCTACATGTGTACTGTCTAGAGAAGAAATAAAGCCTGGATTCTCAGTATGTTAAACCCTTGTTTATTGGAATGAACTGGAAAGAAGCAGTGTTAAAACTGTTAGTTTAGTCTTTTCTGCCAAAACTTTTTGTGCCCTCCCTTTCTGTTTTTAAAAATTACATGTGTATGCAGTACAGATCGTTAAATGATTTCTTGAGAATTCCATCTGTTTTTGTAGTTTTAGCTCTTGTCTTGGATGGCTTGCACCTGTGTAAATAGTGTATCTTCTTGTCGGTGTTATCAGCTGAGGTGCTGATACGCCAGTGCACAGTGTCTCCTTGCAAAAAAGTTAGTTTTTTTTAGTGCGTGTGTGTTTTTATTTTATTTCTAAGATTGGAACATAATCCTGCCTCCTACAGCTGAAGGAATTGTGCTATTTTAAATTAGGAAAGCAGAATGATTAGTAATTCACATTTCTACCAAAGTGGTTTGTCATACTTTTTTTTTTTTAACAGAAAAGGGGCACAGCATGTGTTTGGTGATAATTCTTCGGTTTTAGCCTAAAGTTTTTTTTTGGTTTTTGTTAAATTGACGTCTGACATTTTGTATATTCGTTTGTGTGTCACTCACAGGAACATGTAAGCCCAACGAGGGCAGGGACGTGATGCTTTTTGTTCACTTCTGTTTCCCTAGGGCCAGCCTTGTGCCTGGTATAGTTGGCATCAGGTGCTTGTGGCATGAAAAATGAGCAAGTGGACTGCCATTTCGGTCCACCATAAGATAACTAGCCATTCTTGAGCAATTCACAGTTAAAGTTTTGTTTGTGCCAGTCTTGACATTTAACTAGGTCTACCAAAAAAAAAAAGGCTGTTAATGTCTTTGATAGTCGTCCTAGATAGAACTACATCCGCAGGAGACTTGCGGCACAGCTGGCACCCAGCAGCTCACTCAGGAGACCCCACCTCCCTGACTCTCCCACCCCTTCCCACCCAAGGCCTATCAGTCTTTGGCCCATTTGCTCTGTTCACACTGGACCCTCCAGGAATCCTTAGTCTTCTTAACCTTTTAAAAGAGGTTTCCTCTATTGGCACGAAGAACATTGGGAACTAACTATTTTAAGTAACTTTTGTAGTTGAGTAAGGAACAAAAGTTGAGAAGAGCTGAAGTATAGGGCCTTGAAGTACGTCTCCACTTTGACAGGCTTCCATGGAGAGGGCGGACTTGCAATAGATTTGCTCCTCTTCCCGCTCCAACAGATCAAGGGGAATGGAAAAGAGAGCCAAAAACTCGAACTTGTGTTATGTGTCTATAAGGAGAAAATTGGGCCCAGCATTTCAGCCAGGGCATGACACTTGAAGAGATTACATGGGCAGATCCGTGGAGAATTGGACTTCAGAGTTGTATTGAGGCTTTCATAATAAGTTGACTGGCTAGCACTCCTCTTATGTAAAAAATGTGTTAAAAGATGGTAAAAATTTTCATTAGTGACTGTTGAAACTGCATCTTCAGATTTCTTGTTGCACATAATCTGTGTCATAGATGAAATAACAGCTATAAATGGATGTTTTTAAAGTCTCACCTGAGATGCTTTCTCTTTAACCAGCATTTTTTTAAAACTTATTTTTATTTTTTTTATTTATTTATTTGAGTTGTGGAGTCTTACTCTGTCACCCAGACTGGAGTGCAGTAGTATGATCACAGCTCACCATGGCCTCGACCTCCTGGGCTCAGGTGATCCTTCTGTCTCAGCCTTCTGAGCTGGGACTGTAAGTGTGCACCACCACATCTGGCTAGGTTTTAAATTTTTTTGTAGCGACAAGGTCTCACTATGTTGCAGGCTGGTCTCAAACTTCTGGCCTCAAGCAGTCCTCCCACCTCAGCATCTCAAAGTGCTGGTATTACAGGTGTGAGCCACTGTAGCTGTCCTTTCCCAGCATTTGACTATTTCTTTTATGATATAGCCTTTCTGTACCCCTAGGTTTTTCATCTTCTTTTGCTTTTTTTCCTCATTAGCATCAGCACCCTTTGGGGTGGGGAGTTTGCTGTTTGTCAGAAACCATGAGGTAGAAAAGTTATTGTAAGTGAAAAAAAATAACCTGCTCATTTATTTTAAATTCCATTTCAGTCATATTTCTGGGTAGAGTGTGGAAGTTCAGGGGATAACAGTCCTGCCTTCAAGTGTTGACAGACTCATTGGAAAAGGGCAGCCAACACTACGGGAAGAATTCAGATCGTAGACACTGTCCAGGTGGTGAGAAAAAAGAAGCCTCTTGCAGTGGCACTTAGTGAAAGCGTAGTCTCTCCCTCTAAGGGGTTCTCTCTCCCACCCTGTGGGATGCAGATACTAATTCTCCATTGTGGCACCTTGACATTTCTTATGGACTGAATATGTGATGTTCTCTGGGGGGTCTCACACCCAAGTATTTGCTAATGCCACTAACTATTCCTCCAGCATCTTGTCAAAGTAATCTCATCACCCTTTTATGAGATAGAGCATTACTTTCTTTTTTTCTTTTTTTAAATTAGAGTCTCACTCTGTCGCCCAGGCTGGAGTGCAGTGGCACACTCACCCCACCACAGCCTTGACCTGCTGGGCTCAAGCAATCCTTCCATTTCAGCCTTTCAAGTAGCTGGAGCCACAGGCGTGCACCACCACACCCGGCTAATTTTTTGATTTATTGTAGAGATGAGGTCTTGCCATGTTCTGCAGATCATGACTCATTAGTGGGTTGAGAAATAAATGTAGAAGATTCCACCAGGAATCTTTACCTTGCTAACAAACTTTTCTTTTTCTTTTTTTTTTTGAGTTGGAGTCTCACTCTGTCGCCCAGACTGGAGTGCAGTGGCACACTCACGGTCACTGCAGCCTCAAGCTGCCTGGCTCCGGCGATCCTTCCGCCTCAGCCTTCCAAGTAGCTGGAACTACAGGCGCGCGCTACCACGCACGGTTAATTTTTTTGATTTATGTTGTCAAGTTGCCTAGGCGGGTCTCGAACCCGTGGGCTCAGGCAGTTCACTCACCTTGGCCTCCCAAAGTTCAGGATTACAGGCTGAGCCACCGAGCCCAGCAACAAACTTTTTAATTGTAAGAACACTTTACCTTGTTAACAAAATTTTTAATTGTACAATACAGTATTGTTAACTACAGGGACAATATTGTACAGATCTCTAGAACTTGTTCATCCTGCATAATTGAGACTTTATGCTCACTGGTTAGCAATTCCTCACTTCCCCCTGGCCCCAGCCCCTGGCATCTACCATTCTATTCTTTGATTCTATGAGTCTGACTATTTTAGATACTTTATGTAAGTGGAAGTAAGCAGTTTGTCGTTCTGTGACTGGTTTGTTATGCTTAACATAATGTCTTCAAGGTTCATCCAAATTGTCACATATTACAGACTTTCCTTTTTTTGTTGTTTTTTTTAAGGCTGAATAATGTTCTATTACTTGTATGCTCCACATTTCCCTTCTCCATTCTTCCGTTGCTAAACGTTTAGGGTGTCTCCGTATTTTGGCTGTTGTGAACAGGGCAGTGGTAAATATTGGAGTGCTAATATCTCTTTGCCAACCAGGACTTGTTAAAAAATGAAAAGGATGACAAACATTATTATACATAGTAAGAATATTATATAAACTTAGGAGTTTTTTTGAGAGTGTGTGAATGGCAGGTGTGTGTACTGAATTGCATAGAAATCATTTCTTACTGTGGTTCACAATTAAAGGAGTTTGAAGGCTACTGTCTCAGATTTATAATAGAAGGCTTCCTCGATGAAGTGAGCCTTGGGAGAGAGCACAGGAGGCTAACCCAGTCTTTGCACATAGTAGGAACTCACTGTTGCATATACTGAGTAGAAGTCTGAAGACAGGTCAGAAGCCTGGTGGATCAGACTCAAGGGAAATCGTTTCAATGCAGAAGCCTGGGAAATAACTGAGAAGCAGTCTGGGCAGATAAAAGCAGAGAAGGGTGTGATGGGTGGGGTGGCCCTGGAGATGAAGGATGGTCGGCTGGACAGAAAGGGGTGTTTTGGAAGTGATATGTTGGACTGCATTGGGATGATACTGCTTTTTGTGGGTTGGTGTTGTACCTACAAGGCTGTGGACACGGATAAAAAAAGAAAAAAACTAGACCTGAAAACTGGTGGCCAGATAGTTGGAAGGAGAGCCTTTAGAAACGCTCAGCCCTAGTTGCTAGGGCAATATTTATCTCTTCACACCAAAAAGAGCCCTGGAGCCCAGTTTATGCTCTAGTCTGAGGCCTGCCAACCTGCCCATGTGATCTTGAGCCTCAGTTTTCTTGTCTGGAAACTGAGAAGATTGGACT